GAGCCCACCACTGTCTTACCCTTCCATCAGTCATGGGGCTCCTTCGGACATCCTCCAAACCAAAGTGCCTTCTACTGCAACACAGGGGGTAAGGAGGATGTTGGAGCTGAGACAGTGGGGGGGAAACAGACAACTAACTGGCAGTAGTGGTCAACTATCCCACAAGCATTACCACCACTAAAGTCTGAAACGTATTCAAACTTTGTGTTTAAGTTCAAACTCGTGTTTTAATCAAACTTAAGTGCTTTTATGAAACATTATCAAAAGATACATTTTTGCTGTAAATCCTGTACTTAAAGGTGTTACATATTTAATTGTTTTATAAGCATTTGATGTTTGGATAAATGTTTAAATTGAGGATTTTTAATCATTCTGTATTTGTTTAAATGGAATAAATGAAACCTTTTTTTTTTAGGTGTAAATTTTTATTCTTTTATTCTACAACGGTTTGTCTTATATTGGTACAATCAGTTGTTAAGCTCCTTTGCGCCTCTCTCGAGACCACCTTTCTTCTGATTGACTGCTCCACATAAAAGGCAGGCAGCAGGTGCGTGAGGCTGTGTGCATGAGATGACAACATTAGTGTTGTTTTTCTTTCTGACATTATCCAAAACCAAGACCAGAAAATAATTTATTTAGAGTATTATCAGGTAATTCATCACGTGTCCTTGAGCCACAGTGACTCTGCCCTTATTTCAAAAATACCTTAGATTTTAAGGTTTAAAATTCAAGCAGGGACTGCAGAGGTAGACGTTAGTGAACACAGCCACAGACACACAAACACACACACAAAGCACGTTGAAAGGGTTTGATATAACACCATAATGGGCTAATATTGACCTTGAGAGACCATCTTCTCTCTTACAGCCGTCTGAGTGCACACAATTGTCCCGTTGATGGTTAACTACAGTGACTCTGTGTGCATAAGTGTGTGTTTGTGAGGGAGAGAGTGCATGTTGTTATTCATAGAAACTGACAGGAAAAGAGAAACTGTGCGAGGGTTAAGGATGATATTAAAACTCCATCCAAGGCTGTCTTTTTGAAAACTGCACAAAAAGACAACTCGGAAAAAGCAGATTTTCTTTTTCTTTTCTCTGTCCTCGTGTTTATTTCTCAAGTGACTGGGTCAGCTTTGGTCCACCAGGTGCTGAGTTTTCTTTGGTCCTCTATCTTAGTGAGAACTATTACCATCAACAGAGCGATTAGTGTGTTGACAAAGGATCCCTGTTTGTTTGTTCGTGGATATATCATTCGGTACATCTAGGTGCACTTGTTTAAAACAATTGGGAGCAGGCACTCAGTGCTACTGAATATCTTTGTTTCGTTTTTCATGTATTCATATTGGAGCATTCCATGCTTGACCCTGTTTTTGCCCCTGATAACAGTTAACAAAGGCCTTTGAAGTGAAACGCTCCCTCCTCCTGACAAAAGTCCAACATCTCTGGCACGTTTTTGTCTGCCCTTCTTTTGGGATAACGACGTCTAACTACTCTAACTACTTTTAGAGTGTGAGCTCCTTTCTGTATCTTTTGCACATATCCTCCTGCAGAGACAAAGCATTATCATCGTATTTCTAATATGAAACAGGTTCATATTAAACTGGGGAGACAAAATGAGCCTTTCGTTCACTCTTATGTCGAGAAGAACGGGAAGCAGGAGCAACAGTGTTGGCCTTTTTCAGTGAGTAAGAGAAAGTGAGAGTGCACAGGCTTGTAGATAATGGGGAGAGGGGGAGCAGACCAATGAGGAGAGAGAAGTGGGACTGAGGAGAGAATAAACAAGTTTCTGAGCAGTATCCATTCACCTATTCATAGCGAGCAGCCCCCACCACATCGCAACCATTCCAGCTTTCTCTCATGTGGCGTGCTTCTATTTTTCCCAGGCCACAATGGAAACGGTAAATAAAAAACAACTTGTTCAATCACTTTGCTGTTGTGACAGGCATAGAAATGCCTCAGCACTAAAACTGCACGACGTTTCTCATCATACAGTCTCGTTGACAATCAAGGTGCCAACAATACCAACAGTGTTGGGCAAGTTACTTTGAAAAAGTAATT